TGCCTAGTTTCAAATGGAAGGCAATGCTTAATTCCAGCTATAGGTTAAAGAAAAGATGTAATATTTTCCCTATACAAATTCAGAAACCACACCCTGCCCCAACCCCAGCCAACTAATCATCTTTGATTATAGTCAGAACAAACAACTGGAAAACAAACCTCAGTAAAAATTACTTTAAGATATTAAGAAAGTTATGAGTTATAATATTAAGAAAGTTGGTGGCACATGCCTGTAGTTCTAGTGACTCAGGAGGCTGAGACAGGTGGATCACAAGTTTGAATCCAGCCTCAGCCACTTAGAAGACACTCAGTAACTTAGGGAGAACCTGTCTCAAAAAAATTTTTTTTTGTTTTAAGTGGTGGGGGTGTATCTCACTGGTAAAGTGTCCCTGGGTTAGATCCCCAGTACAAAAACAAACCAACAATAACAAAAGAGTTTATGAAGTGATTCAACCTCAACAAATATTTCAATTCCTTCCAATCAAGAAAATTTAAGGGGCTGGGATTGTGGCTCAACAGTAGAGTGCTCACCTAGCATGAGCAAGGTGCTGGGTTTGATCCTCAGCACCACATAAATGTAAAATAAAGATACTGTGTCCACCTAAAACTCAAAAATAAATATTTTTTAAAAAAGAAAGAAAATTTAAAATAAATTCTTTTGTGGAGTTTAATTCATTTAAAGTATTGTGTTGAAAGGAAGTGACTCATTGAATGTCCATAACAAAGAAAGGGACCTATAGCAGCACTGGGAAAGTTTACACCGTGCGGCCCCAATTCTCACCAGTTAAATGCTATTAATAGCTGTGTAGAAACAGTAGGTATGTCATTTATAGGACTTCACAACTAGACTGCCACTAATCCCATGTTTACTCATTTAAAATGCACTGTTAGCAATCTGTTCACCAAAGCTGTAACAATTAAGAATGGAGGATGGTTAATTTCCCAGTCAGTTATGGAGATAGAACACTAATAAACTATATTTTGTCCACTATGCAAATGATATTTTTAAACATCTTCAAAGAACTTTTAGGGATGTCATTTCCACAAATGTAAAAATTTAAAGATTACAAAAAAGAGCTTGTTTTTCCCAAGAGGAAATTAAACATTTTGAATTTACGTAACATTTCAAAATATTACACTTTGTACTCAGTATAATTAGAGAGAAAGAGGGCATCTGATGAAAGGGAGGCTGAACCCAGGGATAATGGATATGCTCTGAACAGCAGAGGACTTTTTCTGTGTGCCTGCTTCAATCACAACTTAGTGACTAAATTTTTCATCTATCTACATCAATACTGCTGTGTCCTTCATGATAACTATGAATTGTATTTCAATTTTTGGACTGTTTTTGAACAAGTGCTCTAAAAAAGGCAATATGCTGTGTTCTATGATGTGCACAAGGGCCACCTGATCCTATTCCTACAAGACAGCACTGAAAGCCCAACATTCGGTCAACCACCAAAAAGTTTATTCTGTTTTTTTCAAATGAGCATAATCTGACTCTTCCTACAAAGTTTCTTCCACCTCTCCCAAATTAGGCACTCTCACAATCCAAGCTATTCTTCACTGAAGTACTAAAATAGCATCCTCGCCATAATCTTTCTGTTCTAAGTCACCATTTGCACAAACCTCAACAAGCTATCTCCCTTCTAAAATCCTTCAAGAGCTCATCTCTGCACACAGAATAAGAACCCGAAATATTACCATGGTTACACCACCCTAAATTATCTGGTCTCAAAAAACATTCTTCTACCTACTTTGTTGTTCCTTCTGCCTACAACAGTCCTTGTCTAGCCTAGGCTTCTCTTCTTGTTGAAGTACTAGGTATTTCATATTCCAACCAAACACTATCTCTCAGATGTCCCCAGTAGTCCAAATAACTCTTTTTGTTCTCTTGCTGTTCTGTATATAGGTACAAATCATTAAACTCGTAAGTGAGGTTCAGGTACTAAAAACTCTTCATATTGTAACATTGTGTGCGTACATACAGAACAAGAAATCCCACTATTATACATAATAGTGCACCAATAAAAAGGAAGGGGGAGAAAAGAAAATGTAGTTCTAGAAAATGGCTACATGTAAAAAGGAAACCAATAACCATAACTTTTCCAAACAGGGAAAAATAACATTTTACCAGAAGGAAAAATTTACACAGACTCAGGAAAGGGGGAACAAAGCAAGAATCTTGGTTCTTCCCCAAGCCCACAGGAAAAAGCTGTTCTCAACTAGCAGATTTCAGTTTCTTCACCTCCTTGTCTGATATGGTCCAGCATGCCAATCAGAAGGAAAACAGAATCAAAATTTGGACTTTTAGGTAAAATTCCTAGTTTTTAACTGGCAATAACTTCAATTTAAAACACTATACAAGGCAAATTAAACTTGCCAGCTAGTCAGGTGTGACCTTCTAAACATCCAAGGGTATTGCATCCTTTGGTGTAAGTAGAAGATCTAGCTACCAAAACTTGATATATAAATTTTAAAAATTCCTTTGCTAACCAACTTTCTTACTGTAATTTAGTCCCCATGTATATTTTCTAAGTGTACCATGCTCTTTGGGCAATTAACTATAAATATTCAGAAGCAAAGACCTGCTTTTCTTTCAGAACACAAGCAAGGACTAGCTCCATCAAATCCATCAGTCCACACTGAGGGCCAGATCCTAAATCAACTAATTCCCACCAAAGTATAGTGCCACCCTGAAGGCCTTGTGTCACTGATGGCCCTCTGACTTTAACACTGAAGCCAGAATTAGACAGGCAGTCAGTATAGATAGGAAAATCAAGTCAGGTAGATCAAGGAGGCCAATTTGAGCGGTCCCAGAAGTTGGAAACTGTCCCCTGAAGGACTGAAATGTCAATTCCTTCAGAGCCCTTCCTCCACCCTCATCAAGAACCTGCCATGGAGCTCCACCCTGCTGCTAAGGTGGTAACCTGTCCCAGGAATTGCTCCTCCCTACAGGGAGTTATAAAGTTGTTAATGAATGTGTCCAGGGCTGCTCCATCCTGCCCTTCTCCATTCAGCCCACCTGTTGGCCATGCCACCAAGCATTTCCTGGGCCTAGTCACTTACTCAGGAGGGAGAAAGATAAGGGGAAGAGAGCAGGAGAACAAAGGAAGCCTAAGATATGAAAAAGGCAAAACACCCTTATTTCTGGGAATACCAGAATACCAGCCATGGCCCCCTTCTCCCTCCTGGGAGGAATCTATGTTATCCCCTTTTTAAATAAACCCTGCTTTATATGCTTGCCTTGGTGTGCTTCTCTAATGTTAGACTTCAACATGTGAGGGAGCAGGCCTCGTCACCGATAACTGGCGGTATCAACACCACCAACACAGCTCTTCCTTTCAGTGAGCTGTGATTCTGACGTTCTTTGAATGAAAAAAGATTGGAAAATGACTAAAACTTGAATATTTTAGACAATTATATGCAAAAGAAAAGTGAAACACAATGAAGTTTTATAATCAGTTTATAGGACAGAAATGAATTTCATCACTCATTTATCTAGCAAATATACCAAATAAAATGCAAGATAAGGGTTTTCACCCATGTCATAAAGTTGCAAGCTGGGGCCAGAAGCTGGTTTGCCTAACTTCCTGAACTAAGTGCTTATTTAATTTTAACATGCAACACTTTCCCTGGAAGTCTGAATTACATCAATCTAGCAGGAGAGATTTAAAAATTATTTCCACTTACTATTTTGAATTAGAAAATTTATGAAGCCTAAAAACAGCCATTCAATTACATGATCATTTCCTTTTTCTTTAATCAAATCTAAACAGGCAATACTAAAAGAAAAATAATCTGGGCTTTTAATCAGGTCAAAGAAGTTGTACCCTGTTAAATTTAAAATGTATACCACCTAAAGTTAAAACTAGGACATCTGTGATTAACAGAATAAATAACATTAAAGGAAAACAAGGTAATGCCCAAAGACTGGCAGCATATGCAGTAGTAAGAATAACCAGCAATTCATTAAGGGTGGTATTTACTTAACATATACTGGGTGCCAAGGTAAGCACTTTAGAAGCAGTTTCCATTTTAATCTTTGCAATAACTCTATAAAGTTAGGTTCTCATAAAAGATGAGGGGAAAAACGCCCAGAGAACATAAATTGTCCAACAGTGTTACAAGTAATCTATACCATCTACCTAGATCTGATTTCAAAACCCATGAAGTTAAATAACTTCTAAGCTAAGACTCCTTGTTTATTTTACATCTTTAGAATAAAACATCTTTGTTTTTTTTAAAGAGAGAGAGAGGGAGAGAGAGAGAGAGAGAGAGAGAAAGAATTTTAATATTCATTTTTTTAGTTCTCGGTGGACACACCATCGTTGTTTGTATGTGGTGCTGAGGATCGAACCCGGGCCACACGCGTGCCAGGCAAGCGCGCTACAGCTTGAGCCACATCCCCAGCCCAATAAAACATCTTTGTAAAAAAAATTTCCAACTAATGAAATGAATTAACTCAGCTTTAGAGACCAATAAAGTGATAGTATGCAATTTAAAAAGGCTTCTTTATGAGTTTATAAATTAGCCTACCAGCTTGATGTCAAAATTAGTTAAAATGTTTTCATAAATTTAGTCACAGATGTGTCAACAATATTATTTCAATAACACATATTTAACCAACACATTTTATAAATCTTCAACCAAAACAACAAATAAATTGATGCTACACACCTAAGTGAATTAAAAACTTTAGAGATACCACATTTTCAGTGTCAAAGATTTGCCTCACACAGCTTAAGTCACATTTCTCTTCCTTTTTTTTAAATTTAAAATTAATACTGAGCATGTAGAAAATGAAAGAGCATTTGGTAATCATATTCTAGCTACTGGTTAACTCGATAGCCCATGTTAATCAAAGTTTCTTTATTCATTACATATATAATCCAAGATTACTTTTTTAGAAAAAAATTACTATGCTAAAAACCATCACCAATGATCATTGAGAATTTATTTAACGGCTCGTCTCTTATAATAAAAGGCTTGTTAACCTACCTGTCACTGCTGGTACTACTGCTGCTGCTGATTGAATCACTACTGGAGGATCTGCTCCTAGAGCCGCTGCCGCTAGGGGACCTGGTGGGTCTAGACGCTTGGCTAGCCAGTCTCTGAGGAGACTGATTCCTAGACTGGGACGAATGTGGAGAGCGACTCCTGCTGTGCTGGTAATTCCGCTCTGGCCTTCTGCCTCGTACCTCCCGGGTAATATCATCCCTGTAGATATCCCTGTGTACCACACTGGGCAGTGTAAACTGCTCCCGAGCCCTAGGTTCGTATCGGGGGTCATGAGCATCAAAGCGGTTTGGACTTCGACTCCGAGAAGTATAATAGAGCCCATGTTGTAAAGTCCGCTCTCGAGGATCTCTATAGTAATCCTGATCATAATGTCTTGTCCGATCAAATGCTCCTGTCCCCCGTTCATGGTGTCCATAGGCACTATGTTCATAAGCACGCTCCCTGTTATCTGAAGCCCTGCATTTAGGAGGGGGGAAAAATATTTAATCAGAAAGGAGCAAACAAAACTAAATGCAAATCATGCAAACATTCATTTCAGAATTCTTTGTCTTTGCAACAGATCATTTTCCACACAGCATTAACCTACTCAGTAAGCAAATACTAACAAGCTTAACATTTTACTTGATCCCAAAACTTATTGTCACAGCTCAGCAATCCATTGTTTTAACTGTATATTGGGTTTTTCGTGACTGGTGTTCTACAGGTGAGTTGCTCGTTTTATAAAGAATTTTCTGACTTTTATACTGAAATATTCATATATCATCTTCCTTTACAATTTTAAGTTTACTAGAACAAAGAAGAGACTGTCATTTCAATATGAAAGATTTTTACATTTCCATCTGATTAAAATATATTTTTCATTACTTGCAAATTTATTTTAGGTCATATTTCTACACTAAACAGATATGAAAGCCTTGCTGCAGTGTGTATTCTGCAGTAGGAAGGACTTTCAAACAAGTCCAGAAAAAAAAATTTTAAGAGCAACTCCTCGTTAACTTCTTTTTTTCAATGCTGGGGATCAAATGAAGGGCCTCACATGTGCTATGCAAGGGCTCTAACACTGAACTACATCCTTAGAGCTTCGTTAACATATTTTTTTTTTTTTGGTGGTACTTGGGATTTGAACCCAGGAATGCTTTACCACCAACGTACATCCTCAGTCCATTTTATTTTTTTATTTTGAGACAGGGTCTCGATAAGTTGCTCAGACTGTCCTTGAACTTATGATCCTCCTGTCTCAGCCTCCAAATGGCTGATATTATAGACATGCACCATCACACCTGGCTTCTCAATAACTTTTGACTGGGTGATTATTAAAAAATCACTATATAAATTGCCCAATCACATTTAATAATAAAAATGGAATCTTAAAAACAATTAAGATATCAAAATACTAAATCACCACATGCTATTCTATGTAAATTTAACAAATTATTTTATCTCTTGGTGCTATCAAATTTCACATAATTTTTAAAATAATCATTTCATGATTTCATTTGTTAATACATGTACCTGAACATTGGAGGAAATGCATTCTCTTAGCTTTGACAATATTCAAGTTGCCACTGATAAAATTAGGCAATGCTGAGAACTATAAGAATACTCTAAGGTTGCTATGAACAACAGTTCAAGTATGTTTTGTTGTTCTGGTGCTGGGGATTAAAGCCAGGGCCTTGCACATGCTAGGCAAGTGCTCTGCTATTGAGCCACATCCCCAGGTCCTTCAACAATTATTTTGGTATAACATGAATATTCATCAACCTAAGAATACAAAAATCGTTGCATGTACATGTACATTTATACACATGCAATTATGTGACAGTATTAAAAACTAATTCTACTCCCACTAGAAATCATAAATTCTCTATTTTTGTCGGGAAGTAGAACTCTTAAGAATTCAAAGACCAATTCACTTGAATTTCTCTTCAATCTCATATCTTTAGATCCATCCTCTATCAAAGGAGATTAAAGAATCGTGAAAGAAAGATTTAAAATCTCTCAAACAAAAGTTACACTGCAAAATTTGGTAGCAACTAATACTATTTTTCCAACACATTCCTAGATTTCAAAACCTCTCCACTGATATTCATTTTCACTCACTATTTCAGTTAGTAGCAACCCCATTTTCCTAGGCTTTTTTTTTTTTTTAACTAGGGATTGAACCAAGGGGTGCTTTACCACCGAGGTACATCCCCAACCTTTTTTTACATTTCCTATTGAGACAGGGTCTCACACTTGTGATCCTCCTGCCTTAGCCTCCCAAGTTGCTGGGATTACAGGTGTGCACCACCACACCAAGCTCCTAAGTAATTTTCGCAGCTATTATGAAAAACAATTGGTATGGCAAAAAAAAAAATAATATTTTTCCTTCTCATATGTATTAAGTAATTGTCTTCTTTTTTTATTTGCTACAATTCTGAATTTAAATATTTCAGTGTCTAACACGTGTTCCTGTGAGACTTAAGAGAAAATTTCATAAATAGTTCATTTAGCACCCTATCAAATGTTAATCAGTGAAAGCTATTATTAATGATATAACAAGCAATAGGCAAAAGTTCTAGAAGAATTACTGCTACAGCTGATATTTTATAAATATGAAAAGTTCTTATCCATTAGGAAGATACAGAAGGCAGGCACAAGAGCTAGCAGAGCTGAAATCTAATGGCTATTTTTTGATTCATCTATTAGTACTAAATACTTCTAGAGTTAGTGGGGGGAAAAGAGAGAGTTGGACTTGGGTTAGGAGAGGGGCTAATATACACAGGTCAGGACATACCAACCTTTTCCAACTGTGGAAACACGACCTATAATCCCAATTAAATCTAGGGAGAGAATTGTGAATATAACTTCCCCAATTTTGGCCCCTCTTATGGGGGTAATCCACCTTCTTAATGGGCAAGGGTGTCAAATGATATTTAGATGAACCACAAGAAAAAAAAAATCTTAGTGACCAGACAAAATAATTCCACAGGAAGCCAAGAAGTCCCAGATAAACTGTAACTCTCAAACCCCCAGACTTCTTTCTTGAGATAGTAGACAATTATAAATTGATCCACATTCATAAAAATCTCCAGCCCTAAGTATGAATCAGGAAGCTGGCAGAAGGGAAAGATCCTCTACAATTCCAACGAATAAAGAAGACACAGTTGCTCGCCAATTGTTCCCTTTTGTAGTCATCCAGCCCAGTCAATTTTGATTGCTGTATCCACAACTGATCGCCACCATGTGTTCAAAGCTAAAGTATCTTTAACTGGACAGCAACTTGTTTAAGAAATGAGAGTAATCCTCTTCCCCTGGGCTAACAGATCTTGAGAACATGACATCCCATACATTCCAGTAATTAGAAAAGAATGGCTATATTCCAGGACTTATGAATGTCCTCAATTTTCCCCCATTCCATCAAGGAGTATAATTCCAAAACAGAAATTGTGTAGATCCAAAATGGAAAACTCAAGCTTTGCCTTCACTCTTCCTCATCCAAGTACACATTTCCATGTCAAAGTATTGTTGTAGCATCCAAATGGTTGAATCATTATGGTCTGCTAGATCTTTTGTGACAATCCAATTTGTTTGTACACTTTATGTAGTGAAAACCAAGAAGCAGATATCAACTTCTAAAAGAATCTGTAGGCTTTAATATTCCAGAAATATTCCAAATAGCATGACCATAAAACCAAATAGCTCCATCAGGTGGAAAGATATATCCAAGGAAGGCCTTAATATTATCCAGAAGAAGAAATAATTGATTCTAGAAGACAGGTAACTCCAAAAATGATGCTGCCACAGGAAATCTTCCACCACTTTATATCTCAGGAAGTAGGTATCCAATCCACTGCAGGAAATATCCTCTATGATTCCATAAGAAACCAGCCACTGGGATAGAAATCACTTCCGTTTCCAACCCAAAATAGGAAACATCGAGAATGCCCAAAACTTTAAATCCATCTGGGGCCCCTAAATATGAGTTTCTGTTTCTCACCACATCAAATACAAAATACCTGCCTACAGAAACCTTGGAACTTACCCATCAAGTCTCCGCTCATAACGTCCTTCTCGTGCATGAAGTGATGGTGGAGGGCCATAAGCAGGCCCTCCACCACCTCCTCTGAACCCAGAAACCTCTCTACTACGAGATGCTATGGAAACTGTATCATCCAAACCCCGAGCAGCACTCGGAATGGTGCCTGGTTCATTATAATCCGTGCGTAGGTCTCTATCTCCCATTTTGTTGACAGAGTTGTGAGCTTTCTGTGCACTTTTGATGTCCACAAAATCCACAAAGGCAGCCACTCCTCCTTCAGATCCCCTCTTAGGGAGAATTTTGACACTTTCCACGCGGCCATATCTGGGGGGGGAAAAAAAGTTAATGTTATTGTTGTGTATCAGTAATTTTCCAAGATCAGTTTTTAAAATGTTGTTTTTTATTCATAGACAATTTATTAAGTATGAATGAGGTGGGTCTTTTAAAATAGCTTCATTTACACTTATACTTCTCTCACTGGAATAGATATTTGCACCCCATTATTACTCTTACTTCTTAAATATTCTCTAAACTACCTCAATCTTTCTAGTACACTTAGCAAAACTGAATATCTCAGAAGTTTTTTGATACTTTTACACTCTGAAAAATTAGAATCAGCTTGGCACAGAGGTGCACACCGGTAATCCAAGAGACTCAGGAGGCTGAGGCAGGAGGATGACAAGTTCAGAGTCAGACTTAGCAAAAAGCGTGGTGCTAAGCGACTCAGTGAGACCTTGTCTCTAAATAAAAAATACAAAATAGGGCTGGGGATGTGGCTAAGTAGTTAAGAGCCCCTGGGTTTAAGCGCTGATTAAAAAAAAAAATCCCCCCCTCTCGATATCAACTAAGACTCTAATAGTATCCACCAATGTTCACTGCAGCCACTATTCTTAAGAATGTGAAAACCCGGGCTGGGGATGTGGCTCAAGCGGTAGCGCGCTCGCCTGGCATTCGTGCGACCCGGGTTCAATCCTCAGCACCACATACAAAGATGTTGCGTCTGGAAATACTAAAAAATAAATATTAAAAAAAAATTTTAAAAAAGAATGTGAAAGCCCAATAACTATCAATGGATGAATGGAGAAACAAAATCTGGAATATACCTCTAACTGAACATTACATTAAGTCATAAAAAGTAGTTCTACACATGCTACAACATGTATAAGCTAGAAAGCATTGATGCTAAGTGAAAAAGGCTAAACACAGAGTATGATTCCACTTATGTAAGATTATCTTGAACAGTCAACTTCAGAGAGTCAGAAAATAGAAGAAAGGTTACCAGGAGATGGAAGACAAGAATGGGGAGTTACTACTCAAGGAGTACAGTTTCTATATGATGAAAAAGTTCTGGAAATATGGGCTGGGGCTGTAGCTCAGTGGCAGAGCACTTGCCTAGCATGCATGAAGCTCTAGGTCCAATCCTCAATGCCACATTACAAAAAGAAAAACAAAGGCATCTGTCCATCTACAGCTACAAAAAAAATTAACAAGAAAAAGTTCTGGAAATAGCGATGATAATTCTACAACATTGTGGTGGTATTTAATGCCACTGAAATATACACTTAAAAATAGTTTAAAAGTTAGGAAATGAGACTTATCAAATTATATTATGCACATATACAAATCACAATAAATTCCACCATTATGTATAATTGCACCAAAAAACATTTAAAAATTAAATGTAGGGGGCTGGGGATATAGCTCAGTTGACAGAGTACTTGCTACCATACACAAGGCCCTGGATTCAATCCCCAGTACCATCAAAAATAAATAAATAAATATAAAAGTAGTTAAAATTATAATATTATATACCCTTTTACCCCCCTCCAAATAGCAACCTTATGGCCAAACCCAAATTCACATAGACTTTTTTCCTATCTTAAAAAAAGGGGGGGGGGCTGGGGATGTGGCTCAAGCGGTAGCGCGCTCGCCTGGCATGCGTGCGGCCCGGGTTCGATCCTCAGCACCACATACCAACAAAGAGGTTGTGTCCGCCGAGAACTAAAAAATAAATATTAAAAATTCTCTCTCTCTCTCTCTTTCTCTCTCTCCTCTCTCACCCTCTCTTAAAAAAAAAAAAAAGCAATCAATCTCCCATCAAAATAAGTCAGCCACATACAAGAAAACAATCATGCTTAAATTCTAAATAATAAAGCGCTAAATGCAATGGTAAGAAAAACTAAGTATTCATGCAGATTTATGAATACAAAACAAAACCAAAGCACATCTACTTCACAATGGTGGGCTCAACTGTTGTTTTTTGTGGGGATGGGAGTTATCATGGATTGAACTCAGGGACACTCAACCACTGAGCCACATCCTCAGCCCTATTTTGTATTCATTTTTAGAGACAGGGTCTCACTGAGTTGCTTAGGGCCTCGCTAAATTGCTGGTGCTGGCTTTGAACTCGAAATCCTCCTGTCTCAGCCTCCCAAGCTGCTAGGATTACAGGTGAGCACCACAGTGCCCAGCAATTGTTATCATTTTTATATAAGAGAACACATTTTGGAAACAAAATACCAAACTTAACAAAAGAGAACTTAATTGGATATTGCAAATCTATGTCTATACTAAAAAAATTGGAGACACTCAGTTTTTAATTAAACAAATAAAAAGTCTGCTTAAATCTTTATATCCAAGAAAACACAGCCAGTAAATGTGATGTCCAATTTTGACTACTCTTTCCAAACAATAGTTTCTTTTAATATTCAAATATTTCTCAGCTATTCAAGATGAAACATTTACCTTTTGTGTAGTGTGTGTGGTACTGGTATAGAACCCAGGATTTCAGGAATGCTGGGCAAGTGCTCTACCACTGAACTAACTATACCTCCAGCCCCTACTGACATTTGTTAACTAAAAATGAGCAAGAACCAGAAGGCAGTGGTGCACATCTGTAATTCCAGTGACTCAAAAGACTAAGACATGAGGATCAAACTTTTGAGGCAGCCTGGGCAACTTAGCAAAACATGTCTTAGAATAAAAAACTCAGGGGATATAGCTTGCACTCCTAGTTTTTCAAGCCCTAGGCAGAAGAGAGGAAGGGAGGGGGCGGTGAAGAAAACCTAAACTAAGGAGCTATGGGTATGTAGCTCAGTGGTGGAGTGCTTGCCTAGCATGTACAATGCTCTGGGTTCAATCCCCAGCATGGTGGGAGAAACAAATAAATTTAGACTAAAATTAGTTTGTATTTGCTCAAAAATATTCACCATCAATATATTAAACTGATCAAAACACTATATCATGGCTGGGGTTGAGGGGAGTCAGTGACAGATGTTTGCTTAGCGTTTGTGAGTCCCTAGCATTACCATCCACATCCTTCAACTTATTCTGTACAGATATACCTTGGTATCCACAGGGGATTGGTTCTAGAACCAAAATATCTCCCTACTCACCCCAAAGGCAGATACCAAATAGCAGCTCAAGTCTTTTACATAAAATGGTAATGTATATGCATATTGACATACATATATCTTCCCATATACTTTGTGGAGGTTTTTGTTTGTTTTTTGAGATAAAGTCTCCCTATGTTGCTCAAACTGTCCCATAATTCCTGGGCACAAACAATCCTCCTATCTCACTTCCTGAAAAGATAGATAGATATTCCCATATACTTTAAACCATCTCTCAAAATTACTTTTAAATGCCTAATTAATTCAATGCTGCTGCTTTGTAAATATGTGTTATACTGGGAGATGGGGCTGTAGCTCAGTGGTAGAGAATATGCTTACCACGAGTGAGGTCCTGGGTGGAACCCCAGCACCACCACACCCCAAAACCCCTTCTCCCTCAAAAAAGTGGTTATATTGTTTAGGGAATAATGACAATGCATAAGGCATTCACAACAGAATCAATTTTTTTCCAAATATTTTCAATGTGTGCATGATTGGCTAAGGAGGACCAACTGTATTCTTATATTCTTTCATTCCTGTAATACCAGTGACTTGAAAGGATGAGGTAGGATGGCCAGATTCAAGGCCAGCCTCAGCAACTTAGCAAGACCCTGTTTCAAAATAATAAAGTTTTAAAAGAACTAGAAACAGCTCAGTAGGGCTGGAGTTGGTGCTCAATGGTAGAGCACTTGTCCAGTAAAAGTCAGGCACTGGGTTTGATGGCCAGCACATTTAAAAAAGAAAAGAAA